GTGGAGTTTCCTACAGTTTTGAATGTGGCTTTTTCCAAACGGGGCATTTGATTGGTTGCTCTAGGCCTTTGACGTTTTCCTGAGCTCCTGGATGGTTACTGTAGCTAGGCTATGGTAGTTTTTTAAGTGTTCCCATGGGAGAACAATGACCTAGAGTTTCTTAATCGCAGTCTTTCTTATCACTCGACTCTGCTCTTTTTATGCAATCTCCCCCAGTGTAGACCAGCCCGTAGGATCCCTGGGTCTGGCCATGCCCACAGCAGCCTGAAGGGATTGCTCAGACAATCCTTCTTGCCCTTGGAACTTCCCTGACACACATACAGACACAAAGGCCAAGTGCAATCAGATCTAACAATGGCCACAGGCCATGTCTGGCCAGGGGCGTGGTGAATGCACATGTTCTCCATGAAAACAGCCTTTTCCAGTTCTCAGAAGTCACCAGCAACCTCCCCCACACTTACACCAAAGCTGCCAATTCGATCTCACCCTCTGTTCCTTACCTATTTCCCAAGAAGGCTATCTAGGTGTCTCCACAAACATTTAAGTGGCTCAGTCTTGATTGCCGCAAAGGAAGATATTCAATTTTAAGTAGGTCAGTTCAGGCAAAGTATTTTGTAGTGGCCTGTAAAGTACGTGAGAACACCAAGAGCCCGTTTGTTCTGTTTTGAAAGTAAAAACTGAAATGCACAGGTAGGGAGAGGTTGTGAAACAGGTGTCAGAGCGGCAGCCCATCCCTGGACATCAACGAGGATCTGTCAAGCCTGCCTTGGCAGGTGCCACATTCTGGGAAGGACCAGGCCAGGGAAAGCAGACACTCTTCAAGTCCAGGCAGAGGAGTTAGGGACAGGGAGCATCACGCACCTAGAAACACTCCCCTGAAAATAGTACTGCCAGGCACAACTGTATTGCCACTTGTGCTATGATGTTTTCAAGATACAGTGGGGACCTTGGTGACTGACTGTAATTCCCCTTATAGAGCACAGAGACCCTAATGCCACACTCTTAAGATGCGCCCATCTAAGGCCCTTGGTTTGAAAATAATATTGGCCTCGTTCTTACCTCTCCCGGCCAGTCCTCCCTCTGAGCACTTTGTCCACCTTTTCTCTTTCCTTACCTTCCTCCTCTCTTCCACCCAGTTTCCACTGAGCACTCTGGTTGAATACTTGGTCTCAACCTTCCAGCTGGGAGTATAGAATGACTGAGGACTTACTGCAGTCAGAAACTGCATGGTAAAGCTTTGCCCCGAGTTTCTTGGACTTGACCCAGTTTAAGGGGTGGGGAGATGTTACGTAATTGCCGAGCTTGGGGTGCCTTTTTCTCTTCCCAGCCACCCTTCTGAGTGGGGATTAGATGACACCCTGCCAACGTCACAGAATAAAAGGGCCTTGAGAGTCCACTGTCGGCCTCCAGGGAGAGGTGATGTGATGTTGGATTCCCTACTGTTGACTGTCTCCATGGTGACAGGCTCTGAGTATAAATACTCTCTAAGGGAGCAGCTGATTCTTCAAGAACGAAACTGACCCCACAAAAGCAAATCAAATCAACAACTACCACCATAAGAACAAGGGCCAGAAGGACCTGGTTTCTGTGTTGTTGCATTTTTTTACAGCATCAGCCTTGCATTTTTACAGCTAGAACTGAGATGATCAAATCTATACTTAAAGAATGCTGGTGACATTTGCATTTATCCACTCGTTTAGTCCTTCCAGCAACCCTGTGAAGCAGGTACCATTACTGTACCCATTTTATAAATGAGGACACTGAAGCAAAGAGGGAGTAAGTAGCTACCAAAAGTCACACAGGTAGGAGATCTGGGATTTAAATACAGTTTGATTCAGGCCTAAACCCCTGGGCTCCACTCACTGTCTGCCCCTTCGTGGAGGGAGCTTCCGGGAAGAATCCTATCTTTGTTCTCAAACTGATACTACATGGTTCATGTGGTTAGTCTTCATTCATTCATCCCACCGTCCTTTTATTGAGCGCGTGCTACATCTTGGGCTGCAGTGCATCATGACTAGACCAGAGCCCCATCCCCACAGAGTTCAGTCGAATGCGATAAAGGCCATGATCTGGCTTACTCATTAAGCCCCTGAAAAAATTCAGGAGCCACCTAAATATCTATCAACAGAGAGTTGGTCCAATAAATTGTGGTGCATCCACATAATGAAATGCTCTGTAGCTATTTACAGATGCTGACATAGGAAGACACCTATCACATGCGGTTAAGATAAAGACACAGCCTTGTAGTCTTGCTTGCCACAAACGAACACATTGGATTTCAAGTAGGCAACTCAGAGAAAGTGTTTTCCAATGGTCTTTAAACGAAAACAGAGACACTCCAGGGAGCTATTTGCTCCATCTTGAAACTAACCATGTGGCAGGAATGGACATGGGAGATGCACCACAGAGCAGAGCAAGCATGTATTCAGAAGGACCTCAGCCTGGGCAAGCCTACAGCCAGGAAGAGGGGACACCCTGCCAATCGAAGCTCAGGAGAGCCGTGTGTTCCATATTGCGCCCGTCTTTAAAAGTTTTTATTGTGAAATACAGCATGAACATGAAAAAGGACAGTAAAAATAAATGTGCAGATACATGAATTAGGATAAAGGAAACCCCCACAAAACCAGCATGTATGCCAAAAAGCAAAACAATGGCCAACACCCCAGGAGTGTCCCCACATGCTTCTCCCTCTCCAACCTGACTTCTATAGCAATCACTTTCTTGTTTTTCTTTATATGCTTCACACCAGAGGTTGCGCTCCTAGGCATTATTAATACACGGCTTTGCCTGTCTGTGGACTTTGTGTCCATGGAGTCATGTAGCATGCATTTGTTTGAGTCTGATTTCTTTTTCAACATGGTTAATGTTTCTAGGGTTCACTCATGTTGCACGTCGCTGTGGTTGCTATGACTGTTTTGTCCACAGTGCATGTCTTCTGGTGCCTAGATATCGCCATTTCTGAAAAAGCATGTAAGTGTTAGGAAGTCAACAAGCTCACAGTGGCGGATACAGGTTTTTCCCAAATTCTAGCGTTAGCTCGAAAGCTCAAAATGTTGTCATTGGCAACAATGACTGTCCATTGTTTTCATTCTTTTCAAGAAAATATCTGCCAAATGTTCCAATTGGAATAGCCATGCTTTGTCTCCCCATCTTTCTTTCAAGTAAAAATGGTTTTTCATTAAAAAAAAAAAATCTCAGCTAATTTCACCCACAGCTCCAACAATCGCACATGTGGTGCTGTTTCTCAAGAGAACCACGGGCACTTGGGTGGGTAATAGCAGAGCTTTTCTCGCACCCCCTTCCCATTTTATCACAGCACATTAAAAAGACATCTGCTCAAGGGTCAAGATTTAATCAAATTAATAACATTTAATTCTTCGTCAAGTGAAACTAACATTATTCTTATTTTACTGCAACTGCGTGGCGGTGGAGGTACGACCGCTAACATAACTAACAGTGCTGCCTATTTTTTTTTTTAATTGGAAAACAGTGTGTTTATCCAGAACCCATCAGCTCCAAGTCAAGTAGTTGTTTCAATCTCGTTGTGGAGGGAGCAGCTCAGTGGCCCATGCGGGGATCAAACCGGCAACCTTGGTGTTATGAGCACGGGGCTCTAACCACCTGAGCTAACTGGCCGCCCCTGGTGCTGCCTTGATTCACGCACAGACACCAGCAGTTTCACCCACCATGGCTTTTGCACCATCACTGCAAATGTCAACACTGTATAAAACGGCAAATAAGATCTTTGTATTGTTGAGAAAAAGCGTTTTGACCTTGCAGGACCCCTGGAGGAGGCTTGGGGATCCCCAGAGGATCCCCAGGGAACCTCTGCTCTCAGGATATATACCTAGGGGTGGAATTGCTGGGCCACAGCGTGTGTCTGTCGTCAACTTTGCTAGATAATGCCAAACTATTTTTCAATGTATCAATTTACATTCCCCCATCAGTGTTATCAGGGTTTGTTTCCATTCCTTCACACCTAGTGTTTTTTCATCATCCCAGATAACAAGTCGAACCCATTAAGCAATAACGCCCCATTCCTGCTTCCTTCAGGACCTGGTAACCTCTATTCTACTCTCTCCCCTTCAAGAATTTGCCTGTTCAAGATATCTCATATACAGGGAGTCGTACAGCACTTGCCTTTTTGAGTCTGGCTTATTTCCCTTAGCCTAATGTTTTCAAGGTTCATCCATGTTGTAGCGTGTGTCCGAATTTCATCCTGAAATTCTTTTCTCAGAATGAATAATGGCTGAATAGTAATAGTCCATTATATGTATATACCACACTTTGTTTATCTAGTCATCAGTTGATAGACACTTGGATTGTTCCCACCTTTTGGCCGGTGTGAATAATGCTGCTATGACCACTGGTGTACAGGTGTCTGTTTGAGTTTCCCCTTTCAATCTTTTGAGTCTACACCTACAAGTGGGACTGGCACCACAGAACTTTTTTCCACAGTGTCCGCACCATTTTACAGTGCCACCAGCAATGCACGGGGGATCCTAGTTCTCCACATCCTTGCCAACACTTCTTATTTTTCATTTTTGATAATAGCCCATCCTAACGGGTATGAGGTGATATCACACTGTGGTTTTGACTTGCATTTCCCTAATGACTAATGATGTTGAGCATCTTTTCATGTCTTTGTGGCCATTTGTGTATCTTCTTTAGAGAACTATCTATTCAAGTCCTTTGCCCATTTTTAAAAATGGGTTGTTTGGGGTTTTTGTGGTTGAGTTACAGGGATTATTTATATATTCTGGACTTAAAAATTTACAAATAGTTTCTCTCATTCTGTGAGTTGTCTTTTCACTTGTTTGATACTGTCTGTTCCTATGTATTGCATATTTTATGCTATGTAAGTGAATTATTTTTATTTCATTTTCTAAAGGATTTTTGCCTACATGTTAAAATGCAATTGATTTTTTGTAAACAATAACTTTATATCCATCAACCTCATTAACTCATTAATTCTAATAATTTCTTTGTAGATTCTGTGAGAATCTACATGTAGGGCCATAGCATCTGCAAACAATTAACTGCTTTTTGATCCTTATCAGTTTTATTGTCTTTTTGTATTGGTTAGGACCCAGTACAACGTTGAATAGAAAAGAGTGAGCAACTCTTGTCCTGTTCCTGATGTTGAAGGGAAAAAGATCAATGTATCACCATTAAGCATGGTGTTTGCTGTAGGTATTTTTTTGTAGGTGCCATTTATTGGGATAAAGCAATTGCCTTCTATTCTAAATTTGCTGAGCGTTTTTTCATAAATGTTTCATTTTTTTGTATCTATTAAGATAATCACATAGTTTTTCTCTCATTGAATCTATCAGTGTGATAAATTCAGCAATGTTAAACGGAGCTTGCCTTTCTAGTGGAAGCCCAACTTGCCATGATATAATCTTTTTCATATATTGCTGGATTCCGTTAGATAAATATTTTTTAGAAAATTCTTTGCCTCTATATCCATGAGTAAGATTTTCATAGCCTATAATTTTCATTTCCACTGTCCTTGTAGGATTTTATTACTAAGTTAGCCTCATAGAAAGAAGAATGTACCTGCTTTTTTATCATCTCTAAGTCAGTTTATGTAAGATTATGTTTTTTCTTCCTTGAATATTAAGTAAGTCAAGGCATCTAGGCCAGGAGATTTTCATTTTGTTTTGTTGGAAGGACTTTTATTTTAGATTCAATACCTTTTATTAACTAATCAGATTTTCTCTTTCCTTTTGTTTGGTCAGTTGTATTTTTCTAGGAATTTACACATTGCATCTAAATTTTCAATTTTTTGGCATATGTTGTTCATAATGTCTTCTTCTTATCTTTTTTTTTAACTTTATTGGGGAACAGTATGATTTTCCCAGGACCCATCAGTTCCATGTCAAGTTGTTGTCCTTCAATCTTAGTTGTGGAGGGCGCAAGCTCAGCTACAAGTCCAGTTACCATTTTCAATCTAGTTGCAGGGGGCGTGCAGCTCACTGGCCCATGTGGGAATCAAACCGGCAGTCTTGGTGCTCAGAGCTCGGGCTCTAACCAACTGAGCCACCTGGCCACCCCCTTGTTATCTTTTTAAATATCTCTAGGATCTGTACTGAAGTCCCTTTTTAATCCTAGTATTCACTATTTGTGCTTTTTTTCTTTTGTTTTCTTTCTTGGTCTTACTAGGCATTTATCAATTTTACCAGTTTTTTCAAAGAGCCAAAATGTGGCATTGTTGATCACCTCTAT